AATTTGAACAAATGTACTCCATTCTTTCATGATTATGTCAAAATGAATTCTATTGTTATAAATAACATAAAAGAACCAATAAAAAGAGAAGAAGAACCAGGTAGAAATTCTTGCCTTATCAGACAGTCATGGCAATAAATTGACAAATGAAACAGAATAAACCATATCCTGAAACAGACGCCAACGTCCCTGGGAATTTGATTTGATACAGAGAAATTACCCAGTGCATGCCAAAAATCACCCCCAAACAGAAAACATTCTGTAATGTCTTATAATTCTGTGGATGGACGAGCCAGGTCTTTTGTTTCCCTGGGACTCAGTCATGCAGCCCCATCCCGCTACTCGCTATGCTGACTGCAGGGTCCAAAAGGACTGCTCTGGCATGGTGGGGGCCCTGGTGCCACTGCTGGCTGGTTTGCCTACATTCCCTCTGATGGGACCTCCCTATTTGTTAAAGCAAGTTGCAGGACCAGCCCAGATTCAAGAAGAAGAAAATTATATATTACCTTTTGATGGGTAGAGGAGGATACATACAGAAAGAGGATGAATGATCATAGCCAACTTTGGAAACTAGCAAGATGGGTTACAGAGTATAGTGAGAAATGGAGAGCCTCTACAACAGGTTGTCCATATTGAATAACGTAACTAGACCTCCATCTCACATCACAAGTTCAAGGCTTAAATATAGAGGGTCAAACTATAAACCTCTAAGAAAACAAGCAGAACATGCTTAAAACCTTGGAGGAGGAAAAGATTTCTAAAGTAACACACAAACAAGTCCAAACCATAAAAAAAAATAATAATTAAATTTACCTACATTAAAATGCAGAATTTCTGCTCGTCAGAACACCACAAGAAAAAATGAAAAGATTGTATTACATTCTGGGGGAAAAAAATTACAAGATATGCAACCAACAAAGGACTGTTATCCAAAATATGTGAGGAATTCCAAAATATCAATACAGGAAAAACAAAACACAATTTTGAAATGGGGAAAAGACTTGAACAAGAACATCATAGAGGAAAACACATGACCAATAGCCACTAAACATGAAAATATTCTCATCTTTATTCTCACCAAGACTATAGTGAGATTATCACATCAAATTTGTTTGGAGTTGAGGAACAAGAGGTACTTACATACTTTTCTAGTGGAAGCGGAAAGGAACGCTACCAGTTTGAAAAATAATTTGACGTTGATTAATAAGTTTGAAGATGCACAGGCCCCATAACCCAGCAAAACTACTTCTCAGCATATTTCCTGAAGAAACTCTTATACATAAATATTAGAAGAAAAAAAATGTTTAAAGCAGCAATGTTTATAATAACTTTTTTTAATTTATTCTAATTTTTCTACATTACAGCAGAATTCATTTCAATTCATAGTTCACAAATAGAGCACAATTTTTCATATCTCTGGTTGTACACAAAGTGCCCCCTCTCTTCCCCTCCCTCCCCTTTGCCCTATCTAAAGTTCCTCCATTCCTCCCATGCTCCCCCTCCCCATCCCCATTATGGATCAGCATCCTCATATCAGAGAAAATATTCGGCATTTGGTTTTTTGGGATTGGCTTACTTCACTTAGCATAATATTCTCCAACTTCATCCATTTACCTGCAAATTCCATGATTTATTCTCTTTTAATGCTGAGTAATATTCCTTTGTGTGTATGTATGTGTGTGTGTGTGTGTGTGTATATATATATATATATATATATATATATATATATATATATATATATATATATCACATTTTCTTTATTCATTCACCTACTGAAGGACATCTAGGTTGGTTCCATAATTTAGCTATTGTGAATTGTGCTGCTATAAACATTGATGTGACTGCGTTACTATAATAACTTTAAGAAGAAATTCACAAAAAAAAAAGAAATCAAAAAAAGAAGAAGAAATTTATCATTGATAAAAGAATGCATAAGTAGATGGTGGCCTGTTATTCAAAAAATTTATTTTTTAATGGACATTGATAAATTGTATACATTTATGAAGTACAAAGCGATGGCTTTGAGAAATGCGTACAACGTGGAATGACTGAATCAGCTAGATGGCATCTTTGTCGCCTCAAGGACTTATCATGCCTGTTTAACTGAAGGGCTAAAGGCGTTGACCAAGAACATCTCCCCCATCCCCAGCCTCTAGCAACCACATTCTGATCTCTGCTTTTATGAATTTAATTCTTTTTAGCTTCCACATATAAATGAGAACATGCAGTACTTGGCCTTTCTGTGTGTGGCTTGCTCTTTAAATAGATACGAATCCAACAATGAAAATGAGGGAACTCAGCTGGATTTCAAAAGCATAAGGTGCGCAATAAAACCCCGTGACACAACTGTATTCAGTGTCATTCGACCTACACGAAATTGAAAAATACCGGAAACGCTGCCATAGGTGGATTAGAGAGTGATATATAATAAAATCTTAAGGAAAAATAAGGGCATGATAAACATAAAATTCAGGCATTTGTTATCTTTGGGAAGGAAGAAGGAGAAAGGAATCAGAGGCACAGAGTGGCTTCAAGGCTACTGGTAATAGTCTGTCTTTAAACCAGGTACTGCATATATGGGTGTTCATGGTATTATTATTCTTTAAACTCACATGCACATTATAGTTATTACTTCATAGATATTAAGTGTCCAATGAAAGCAATAAAAATTTGAATCTTTTAAAAATGTCCAGAATATAGCAAATGATAAATGACATAGTAGTCAAAATAATAAAATTTTAAACTGAGAGATTTAATTCCTTCTTCCTTGTTTCCCAAAATACTGTTGTCATGAGCAAGCTTTGCCATTAGTATAGAACCAACTTGTTTGTGTCTTTCTATAATGTCAGAATTTATTGAGTAACAATAAATTCATAGGCTGTACCATTTTCACTGAATATTTATGGCTCACCTGGTAGTCATAAGCTGAGCAATCACAAGTTTTTATTCCAGTCTTAACTACTAATATCTATAACACTCAAGTGACACATCAATCACACATCGTACTTTACACACACACACACACACACACAAATATATATATATAACTGAAAAGCTAAGAAAGGGTTAAGGCAACCAACCACAGGGCTTAGGAGACTGAAATAAGATTAAAGGCAGAGAGTAGATACAATTGCAAAGGCCTGCAGAGCCAAAGCTAAGGAACTTATTCTAGGCCAGGGTCCTGACTGATGGCTATTTCAGAGTATCAGCTGGGAGTGGGCCCTGTGTGATCATCAGGGGCTGGAAAAACCACACTGTGCTGAAGCTCTAGGAGACAGATTCAAAGACTCATCTTTGTGTGACTTTCCTGGGCATGGATCTCGATGAATAACCAGATGATGGGGGATCAGTGTACCAGTGTGTCCAGTCTTGGTGTGCTCCTCCTTTTATGGGTCTCAGATAAGCGGGTTGCTTCATTCAGTGCTCTTGTGTGTTGGATAAAACTCATGGGCATGTTTTTTCCTGATACAAGTCTAATACGGCCATGAATACATGTGCTTCTGATTAATTCATTCAGAGGTGGGCTCATTTTCATTAGCATAATTAATTTACCATTTTGTGCCTTATGGTTTTGCTGGGCGGATAGTGGTTGCTTTGTATCAACAAGGAGTAGAGTAATTCCACCTAATCACTTAAACTCAAAATGGAGTAATTCAGGCTGGGGTTGTGGCTCAGTGGTAGAGCCCTTGCCAGCATGTGCGAGGCACTGAGTTTGATTCTCAGAACAACATACAATAAATAAATAAAGATATTGTGTCCATCTACCCCTAAAAATATTTTTTTAAATGGAGTAATTCATGGCAAACTCATGCTTTATAAACTGGAGTAACTTGGGGTAAGGATCAGCCTGAAAACTGCTGTTCTGTACCTCATGGAGTAGCTCAGCCGGGCATGGCCTGCTCTCCACAACTGTGCAAAGGAGCAAGTCCTGGTTTTCACCAGTAATTCTTCCTCTCCATCTTCAGCAGGAAACCTAAGGAAATGAGAAAGCAAGCCATGTGGCTACTTGGGAGAAGCTTCTGGAGACAACAGGAGAATGGAGAGAGAGAACTAAATTGATCTTTGTCCCAGAATATCTAAAGTGAATCAGAGCCACAAGCAGGGTGATGGTAAATCACCATCTGTGGCTTGTGACCTGTGCAGGACATCAGCCCCACCTCACCTCCTTCCACTGCCCCTCAACCCTCTTCTCATCTTAATTTAATATTACTGTGATAGAGATCCTGGTTTGCATTACAAAGCTCTTAACTGGACACCAAAAGGCTCTGTGTCTAACTACTATTTCTTAATCCCCAACATCCCCACCCAGGCTCTGCAGGGCTGCATATGGTGGGAGGAGTCCCACAGTCCCATCGCTTTTCAAACTTGTTACTTTCTTTTTCTCGTTGCCTCCCCTCATCTCATTATTTCTTGCTTAGGGTGGTCTCACTGCCTGGTCTAGCCATCTTGAGTCAATATTCCATTCCTACCAAAGAGATGTCTCTCTTCTTTTAAAATATAAATGGGATCAGTCCCGTGCTAAAAGAGTCATCAACTCCCTTTAAACTCTCAGAAGTGTCCACAGTCCTGACATTGTAATAGTTTTTGAATTTTGCCAAGTATTCATCTGTTTCTCCACATAAAATTTTTCCTAGGAACTCCACCAACATGGATAAACCCAAACCTCATGTTCAAATATTTTTCTTGCTCAAAGAAATTCAGTAATATTTTCAAAATAATTAAAGAGTAAAAGACTTGCAATAAAATATGTTCAATTGACCTAAACAAAGATAACCAGATAAAGACATATGAAGTAAATGAAATCTAACTTTGTCCAAGAGAAATTAAATTTTACTACTATTGAGCATGTCTATCAGTATTCTCAATTTGGGATTCCTGCCCATTACCCTAGTCCTACTAAGTACAAGACTTCCTGATGGGCTCTCAGAAAACTCTCAGTCCTTTTCTTCATATTAATTCATTTCTAAAAGTAAGAGACCATGCAGTTTTGCAAAACTTACTTCCTTGAATTTTAAGCTTAGCTTCTCCCAACATACCATGAGGTCTTGCAAAGTTGCTTAGTCTCTTTGTATTTAAGTTTCATCACCTTTAAAATGAAAAAAAAAAACAATATTTATGTGAAAATTATTATAAGGATAAAACATGACATAGTACAGATCTTTTGGGGCTATTCATCTCCCCATCTTCCTTGGAATCACACTGAGGGCTTGTGAAAGAGATTCATCAGCTCTGTTCAGCGTTGCTAAACCCAAATCTCAAAGAGGAAAGATGAATCAAATTCTATATTCTGACCTGAATGTGTGGTAGGCAGAATTTTAAGATTGACTTCTATTATTGTTTAGATAGAAAGTGATCCCCCACCACAAAAAAAAAAAAAGTTCACATGTTAATGCAGGAGATGAAATGATTAGATTTTGAGCACTGTTACTTAATCAGTGGATTGATAATTTGAATGGATTTCTGGGTGGTGACTCCAGGCATGGCTAGAGGAAGTGGGTCATTGTGGACATGCATTGAGGATTCTCTATTTTATCCCTGGCTCTCCTCATGCACTCGTGCTGCCAACCCCCACCTCACCCCTTCCTGGCTGCCACGAGCAGAAGAACTTTCCCTCTCCATGTCCCCCTTCCACTCCATGTCCCCTTCCACCATGTTCTGCCCCCCTCAGGCCAGAGGAATGGAGTTAGCCAACCATGAACTGAACCTCTGAAACCATGAGCCAAAATAACTTTCCTGCACTAAGCTGTTCTGCTCAGGTATTTTTGGTCACAGAGATGAAAAACTGACTAACACAACCCCCAATGACCCTCGCTCTTGCATAATGGGGGCCCTTTGAGCATGAGGGAGTTTGTGATCATGTGAGCCAGGCTACCTATAGGAGGGCTCCTATGGGTGGGCTTCATTTGAGCACATGAGTATGTATGTATTCTACCCTTTAAAGGCTGAGAGTTTTCTCCTGTTGATAGCAGAAGAAAAAAATTAAAATCCTCCGAGAACCCAGTGGAGCTGGCTTGGACTTCTGACTTAAGAGAAATATGAGATAATAAAATGGAGGTTGCCTTCGGACACGACACCTGTGCTAATTTGTCAGGCAGCAGTAGAAAATGAATTCAATATCCAAACTTGGGAATGACTAGTGACAAGATCCTCTTTCTGTCCCTCATCCTGTACACCCACTGGTTTTGATGATCTCTGTCTACATCTGGAGGTGGGGTTTTGGGTTGGTTGGTTGGTTGGTTCATTGGCTGGTTGGTTGGTTGGTTGAACTGGAAAAAAGTGAAGAGAGGTATTTTCATGAGGAGAAGAACTGAATGGAGAAAAGGGTGAAAGAAAACCCCAGAAAGGTGATGAAGTGGTGTCTAGTTTTCAGCCCTCAAGGAGAAAGAAACTGAGTTTAAAGGCAAATGGGGCTATTCAAGTAGAATTTGAGGGGCTCTGAGTATAAGCAAAGCTTCTTTAGAAGAAATCATGAGTGGGCTGATATGTAGGTCAGTGGTAGAGTGCTTGCCTAGCATGTGCAAGGCCCTGGGTTCAATAGGCTGCACTTAAAAAAGAGAGAGAGGGAGAGAAGGAGGAGGGGGGAAAAGGAGGAATCAAAGAAGAATACACTGTGAAGGAAACCATATCCACCATCTACCCAAATCCTTGGAACACATTGTGCAGACACTCCAGGATTTGAAATCTAACAGAATAATTGCAAGCAAACCTTTTAGTGTAGTCTTTGTCTGGATCCCGGTCCCTCCCATGCTGGGTGGAAGCAGGGATGGGTCTTCTCCGATCTGCTGCATGGACAGCATTAGAGACACATGACCCTCAGGGCCAAAATGAAGATTGAAGTCACATCTTGGAACATCTTCTGGAAACAACTAGGGTTACTGATGGGGATGGGAGGCAGGTGGAGGTATAACTACCGGCTAGCAGAACCCATCAATGAGCTTCCTTTAGCTGACAATAAGAGTTCTACAGCCCCAATCCCCAAATGCTCTTCCTGGCCTAACTCTGTATCCCCTCTTAATTTGAGCAATAAATAGTGTCTGCCTGTTGTAGTTGGCCTTTCTCTCTCAAAGCTGCCCTTTGCCTCCTGCCTAAAGGCCTGCACTTGCTTTTGATCACTATTTCCTGGGCATGAAGATTGTACCAAAGTTTGGTGTCAGCCACAATATTTGCCACAATCTGTTTTGGTATTGGCTTTGACCTTGAAAAGGCTAAGTAACAGAATGCCAGCTTGAATGTCACTTCTGGCCTCTGCGAATGTGCATATTATCAATGAGTAAGTAACTGCATAGTTGTTATTGAATCCAACCAGCAGAACAGTGTCAATAATTGTTAGAGTCTGTAAACAAGTCTGGATGGGGCCTGGCATTTTGCCAGAGGGAGTGGTTTGTGAAGTAACGCCAGCGAGCCATTAAGTGTGGAGATTCCTTATTGGTTGACTGCTGTATCTAGTTTATGTTAATTAGATAAGCTGTGTGGAATGTATAAATACCTCTGTTGTCCTACAATAAACGGCTTCCACTCCTGCTGTATCAACGTACACAAGTTGTTCGTCACCCCCCCGGTTATTTTGCTGCAGCCGGACTGCGGCAAATAATAGAAGAAGATTATCATTCAAAGTCATTATTAATATCTGATTATATACTTTCAAGTATAGGTGAGCATTTTAAATATAACTTATAGTAAAAAAAAATTGTGTACTTTGAATTTTCGAATTCTATGACTCTATTGAAGTATACCTGTATTTTCAACTTGTGAGAGTATGCTAGAATAGCTAATGATGATTGTGAAAGCTTTTGTTTTATAAAAAAACATTATTGGTAAATCTCTAATATATAAAAAAAGAGAACATTAACAACTAGAAATTTTTAGGAAGAATACCATACCCTTTTTAAATCAATAAAGCTTTATAAGAATGTAAATAATATAAAGCAGAACAACAGAGATTAAACTATATCAAAATTCTAATCATTATTAAAGTGTTTGGTGGTTTTGTGTTTGTTTGTTTGTTCACTTTGTGTGTGTGTGTGTGGTGCTGGGGTTTGAACCTAGGGCCTTGTGCATGTGAGATAAGCACTGTACCAACCAAGCTATGTCCCCAGTTCAATGTTTGATGTTTTAACACTCATAACATTAAATAAAATCATCTCTAAAACTATTTGGCTTTCGGTTATTTCATTCCATTTACACTGTGCATTTTCAGTTGTCTCTGTGTTTGTGCGTATGTGTGTGTGTATGTGTGTGTGTGTTGTTGTTGTTGTTGTTTGTGTGTTTGTTTGGTTTTGGTACCAGGGATTGAACCCAGGGCTGGGTGCTCCACATCCCAGCCTTTCAGCTCTTTTTTTCAGAAGGTAATTAGCATACAGCCTAATGAAGCTGGATTACTGACTGTAAACAGAAAGATAAGAGGCCACTTTCATCATTTTTCTTCAGTCAAAGAGAAACCACAAGGCAGACAAGGGATTTTGGAATTGCCTTGTCATGTACTTATCCAAGATGTTCAAACAAGATGAAATAGCAGCTATTACATTTTTAAAAGGCTACTTGAATAAGAGAGAGCCTTTTAGGCAGCACTTTGCAGATTAAAATACCAATATAGCAGGGCTTGCTAACCACCGAAAACTGCCTGCAGAGAGAGTAGTCCATAGGCCAGAACCTGCTGAAAAAGTAACCACAGCAATGTTCCTTATGAGAGCAAGTGCTTCTTATCGGTAATGATGTGCCTATCATACTTTGCCAGGGAAGATGCTAAAATTGGTGTTCATGCCATAAAAGCCAAATTGTAGATGAAAATGCAGAGAACTGTTACCTTAGAAGCCAATTTAATGGATCCATGGCCACATTTCTGGACCTGAGATCTAAGAACAAATTTTTCTCAAGTGGTAGTGTAAAGAAGCAACTACCTACAGAAATAATAGGAATAAAACGTGGAAGTAATTTGATGTCTGCTTCAGAAAAAAATAAAAAGACAGAGAGAGAGAGAGAGAGAGAGAGAGAGAATCTTCTTCAGGTAGTGCACAGAGGTTTTCTTTGTGAAATTGGCTCAAAATTTTTGTCCTTGCTATTAAACAAATCTTCAGTCTATGAATCAAGAATCTTTGTCAGTTTCTACCAAAGGAAAAGGAAAGCTTACCAATTCAGTGGTGACTTCACCGTCGGCTCCAAGGTTTAAAGCTAATCAATCAGGCTGGCTGGGTCAGCTGGGAGAACTGGGCCTTCTCCAGGTGGTTTCTCAATAGCACACAGGCCAGCCTGGGATTGGTGGCATGGTACTAGTCACAGGGATTCAAAACAAGAAAGCCAGCCTAGCCTTCCCCTAAAATGGCTCCCATCAAGGTCTCCTTTGATCTTTCCAGTGGCTAGGTTCAGGGAAACCACTTTAGTTTGTACTTACTTTTCCTGAACATGCTACAGCTCTTGATACCAATCACCACTCGTTTGGTCTTAAAACCAGTGACTTCTAGTTCAAATGAAACTCTTCCAGTTTCTTTATCAATTAAACTGATAGCTATGGTCCCCAGCAGCCACCAGAGACCCTCCCATGGGGGCAGCCTTGCCATCAGGGGTCAGACTGCATCGCAGTTTCAATGACACAACTACAATGTGAAATCGCAAGACTGTGTAGTACTCACAGTCCTGGGGGAGGGGGTGTTCCATGGCACACCTGGATGCCACACCTGGAGGTCAGGAAACACGGGTGGGGGCAGGGGGTGGGGAGCACCTAGGCCAACATCTTTATTTGTTTCCAGGAGTTATCCAAATAAGTTTCCCGCCTAAAAATAGAACACAGTCTGAATATTTTTAGGTTTTCTCAGTCAGTAGAGGATTTTCTCAGCCACCTTGGGTTTCTATTCGGTTGATTTTGAATTTTCCCCTGGGTCCTTTTTGTTCCCTCTTCCCAAGAATTGATCTAAATTCCAAGCAGGTTGGAAGCAAAATAGGGAAATGTCTGCTTTGGAGTGGTTCTGGGCACTACACTGCCGTTGGTTAAAAGGTAAGTGGCAGCTGAGCTTTGGCTGTGGACCTACTTCCACACTGCCACCTGTTGAGGTCCTCCTGCCCCTCTGCATGGTCTCTGCTGCTTTCTACAGCCATCTTCACTGGAACTGAGAGCTCTTCTGCAGTTTCTAAGACTTTGGTGGGGCCTTTGGAAATTGTACTTTTTCTTTCTTGCAAACTGACCTAAGTTTATTTATTTGTCCTATAATTGCCAGGTTCTTTGGGTAAGGATCAGGAATGTCCCATGATTAGAGAGAATGATGTGTCTTCTCTGCATAACATCACTACCTGATGGTATTGTACAATGAGAGGAACCCACACAGCCACTAGCAAGCAGGCATGAAAACTCACACAAGGGGGTTTCTGTCCTTCATCTTAGAGCTGACAAACATCTTCCATGAAAGCTTCAATCAAAATGCAACAATGACACTGGAAGCTTCTAAGGCTAAGTGTTACAAAAAAAGAAAGAAAAAAAATATATATATAGCAAGTTACATTCCTAATTTAAAAATTTCTAATACCTGTATTTTTTTAAGGTAAAAAGAAGCAGGTGAAGTTAATCTTTTGGTTACTTTGTTTTTAACTTTTTTTGTCCTAAAAAAAAAAATAAATAAATAAGAGCACAGATACTGATTACCTCAGAAAACAAATGAATAGCTTAATGAGTTATTTTAAGATCGAGCCCCTGGGTAACTATCATCCAAGTCAAGAAATCAGATTTTGCTGACTGCCTCAGAAGTCTCTGCAAGTGTTCCTGACCAATCTCAACCTACACCTGCCTTCAAAATGTTACCAATTTTTTATTTTTTTCTGTTTAGTAAACTTTAGTTTTTAAAACAGTTTAAGTTTACAGAGAAAAAGATTATTTAGTACAGGGACTGTCTGTACCATACATATACCTTCACACACGCACTCTGTTCCCCCAAGATGAACATCTTAAACATCAATGTGGTACATTCTCTATAGTGAATGAGTTGATATTGATACATTATCAACATTCATCCACTGAAGTCTACAGTTCACTCCCATTTCCTTAGCTTTTACATGACTTTTTTTTTCCATCCCAGGATCCCATCTAGGATACAACATTACGTTTAATTGTCATGTGTCCTTGGGCTCCTCTCAGCTGTGACAAATCTCAGACTTTTCTATGTTTTTGATGATCTTGGCTATTTTTGAAGATTATTAGATATATTGCAAAGTGTTCATCTACGGGAATTTGATATTTTCCTCATGATTAGATTGGGGCTGTGGGCTGTTATGATGATCACAGAGGTAAAGTACCATTTTTGTTATGTCATATCAAGGATGTTGGACCCTGACCTTGTTGAGTCAAGGTGAAACTAATTTTAGGAACATATTTTACTTGTGCAAAAATATCTAAAATACCATCATCTGCATATGCACTCTATATTAAGATTATTAATGAATAGTTTACTTTCTCCTTTTATACTAAGCTTTACATTTTCAGCACATCTCAGTTGGGGTCAGACATATTGCAGTGCTCGATAGCTGTAAGTGGTAGTGGCCACCATCCTAAATAGTGCAGTTCTAAGAGGCTTCTGCCTCCCAGAGTTCCAAGCTGAAAATGGAGCCCAAGCTCCCTCCTTCTGAGTGCTCCAAGTGTATCTAACTTTAGTTCCTTATCTAACCTTCTCCTCTCTGTGTGGGACCCCTCACTTCCCTGTGTCCACGGGATCTTTGCATCACTGAAGGGACAGGTGTCACATGTGACTCAACAGAAATTATCCAAACACCTGTTTGGGCTGTGTGTGTGTGTGTATGTGTGTGTCTATTTGTTTATTTTGTTTTACCTAAAAAACAAGAATTTGGGGTCTGGACTCTACTGGTCTTGGTGTACCTGCTTCCCACTGGGGCAATTTAAATGGCTAAGCCTCCTAATAAACATGAAGATATTCAAATGATATTTTGGAGCAGTTAGGAAACACTTTAGTTAATATTTTACAATACCACTTTGTCACACTCATTAATAACCATTAAAATTACAGTTCTTCATAAGCTAAGATGAAAGAAAAAACATAAGCATACCTTCATCATTGTATTCATCAGTCTTGCATTACTGTAACAAAATACCTGAAATAATCAGCATATTGAGGGGAAAGGTTTATTTGGGCTCATGGTTTCAGAGGTTTAAATCCATGGTCACTCGGTCCTGTTGTTTTGGGCCTGTGGCAGCACAGTATATCATGGAGGAAGAGGTAATATGTGGTGAAGGAGGCCTGATCACCTCATGATGGCCAGGAAGCAAAGAAAGAGGGGAAGGGGCTGGGGGTCTGAGTATCTCCTTTAAGTGCCATCCTCAGTGACGTAACTTCTTCCCATTAAGCCCCACCTTTTACAGATTCCACCACCTCCCCATAAGCGCCACAGGCTGGAGCCCAACCTTTAACTCACGGGCCTTGGGGAACGTATATCCAAACCACAGCGACCAT